ACTATTTATCAGTATTAAGAATTCTTGATACTACTGCTAATAAATACTAATAAATCTTTATTTTTAAAGGAATAATCACATCCGTTTTTTTTTTTTTTTTAACAGTAAACCTCTGTTGTGCAGCACTTTGTTTGCCAAAAAAAAAATAACGCTGCCAAACACACATGCTAAAAAACAACAACTTACTTACACATAGGAAGAAATGGTTATAAAAACTGAAACAGAAGCAAAACAAGTAATAGGTCGAATTGAATCGGGACATCTGAATCGATACCCAGCCCTAGTAATTACCCAAAAAATGATTACCGTATTACTATTTTTTATTAATTTTAAATTATTTTTAGAAAAAAAATTACCCTTATGTAAATTCAAATTTCAGAAAGGTTATTTTATTTATTTATTTAGTAATTTATCAGATGCTTTTATCCAAAGCGACTTACAAATGAGAGGAGAAATTAAAGAAATTTAAATTAAAATTAATTATAGGTTAATTAATTAAAATTAAATTAATTAAAGAAATTAAAATTAATTATAGGTTATGGTAATTAAAAATAGTACAATGTTTTTATTTGTTGTCAATTTGAGCCCCAGTAAAATATATTGTTGAAAAACACATTAAATCAAAAATAAGTAAATAAGACAGAATAAACATCAAAACCAAAATGTTACAAATTGCTTTATACATGTTTATTTCCATAACAAATCGAACGCAATTTTTTTTCTCGCGATGACGTGTGATGAATGCTATCAAGTTACTCCACTACCTGTCAACTAGTTAACATTTTTTAAGTGGAAACTATAAAGTCCAGCCTTTGGTTAACTACACTCACCATTTAAAATGTTTACAGTCTGAAAGGTTTAGCTTTAACGTTACAGTGCCATATGAAGGGCAACATAGACTTTACAAAATAATAATCTTAATAATTAACACATTAACCTACGTATTATATATCCAGATATGGTTCAGGAGCAGATCGTAACTAGTAATAGTTGTTTCACCCACATTTGCATAACAAAATCAGTCATAAATAGCTGATTCATAATCAACGACACTGTATTATCTTTATATTCATGCGGTTGAATGCGCAGCTGGCTTTGTAGCGGCACGAGGCCACTGGTTCTCACATTTCCCTCTTCCTAAACACCCAAATCCATCTCTAAGACGATACGTGATGTAAAGCACAGCGAAACTAAACGTTAAACCGTTTTAAATGAGCTGCGTTACCTCGGATCCTCGTGGAGATCGTCTCAGTGTTTGAGGTTCGTCTTCAGCTCATCAGACTCCATGGAGGCTTTGTGTTGAAACACTCCAAAAACACACGACCACACGGTTCTGTCCGGTTTTCCGTCCCGCCGATGAGAGAATACGGCAGGTGGACGGTGGCTCGGTCGTCCTCTGTCAGAGACAGAAGCAAAGAGAGTCCAAATATGCTGCGCTTCCTCCTCGATTCACGCCTGGCTCGCAGTCTGCGGCGCGACGCATGCGCAGTCACACACTCCCCGCTATCACACTACGCCTGATCACTATCACAGGCTCCGTTATAACGAGCACACACATCTTCTTCTTCTTCTAATAACGTTTTATGGCGGATGGCAAACCAACTTCTGGTGCCCACACATGCTGCTTAGTTCATGGTGTCGACTTTACATTGACTTACTTTTTCTTTTTTTTTTTGGTATATTTAATTATATTTTCTTGCATGTTTATTAGTGATTATTTAGTATGTTTATTCTGTTTACCCCAGTGGAGGGTGTTTTACATATTTCTAATATTTATATAAATTATTATGTCAAACTATTAATCGCGATTAATCGCATCCAAAATAAAAGTGTTTGTTTACATAATATATGTGTGTGTAGTGCACTGTGTATATTTATGTAGGCTATATATAAATATACGCACATATTATATTATAGAGTATATACACTGTATTTTGAACATTTTCACATGAATATATTTATATTAATATAATTTATATTATGTAGAAATCTATTTAATATATAAACATATTTTTCTGAAACATATATGCATGTGTGTGTATTATATATACATAATATACACAGCACACATGTAAACAAAAAAGTTTTTGGGATGCGATTAATCGCTTGACAGCACTAAATATTAATGTCACGGTGCGTGCGGGGAGATGAAGCGAGGACTCAATTGCAGGAGAAATGGTTATTTATTTTAATAAAAAATGAAACAAAAACAAACTCAAACCACCCCGAGGGGGAAAAACAGACAGGCAGGCCTAAAGCTGCACCACACGCAGACACGAAACACACACAATGAGAAATGACGGATCAGCACAGGATGACAGACACCAGGAGAATAAATAGGAACCAAACGAGGAGGCTAACGTGGGAGACACAGGTGGAGCAACTTAAACCATAACGAGGTAACAAGATGGGAGGGGCAAGACAATAGACAGGAGAGAGCACATGGCAACAGACAACACAAGCCATGTGCTCACCGAACACAGTCATCTGGTGGCCCTCCTGGGCACACCCGCTGAAGACTGTGACAATTAATACATAATATAATTATATAATATTACATTTATTTTAATAATTTTTATAAGGCTGCTGTTATTTATTTTGATCAATTATTTGCACATAGTACTATTATACTATTATACTTTGTATTAATATCAATTATGTTTCTACATTTAGGCACTTAACTGGCACTTTTATCCAAAGCGACTTACATTACATTCAAATTATACATTTTATCAGTTCATGCATTACCTGGGAATCAAATCATGACCTTAATGGTGCTAGTGCTCTGATGTTTGAGCTACAATCTAAAAGATAGAAAATCATTTACTAACCCTAATATCTAACCTACTTCCTTAATTGGGGGCTTGCATGACATTTATTTTTACACAGATTTCTGCATAAATCTGCAGAATTCCCACAAATTCAGTGCAGAAAATATGAAAAAGGCCACAGAATCTGACTGGGCCATAAAACACTCTGCCAAATCACCAGCAATAAATAGTCAATAATTATACAACTTCCAGTTGTGCATAGAAGGACGCAAGGAAGTGGCCCTTTGACTTGTGCAAAAAAAAAGTGCATTCACTGTTTGATTGGACACCCACATCTGCTATGATGGTGTTTTCCTAACACTTTTCTTGTTCCACTCACCCTTCCATGTGAAGGGACTGCAAAGCGTGCTTGTGTCTGTGAAAAGATAACACTGCCTCTTAGTGGCCTCGTGATGACACTGCTAAATGTCATTAATGGATGTTAACATTTCACAGTTTCAGTTTGAAGCATCCCACGCTCTTTTGGATCATGTACGGCGAGTTTAAATGAATAGTTCACCCAAAAAAATGAAATCTGCTCACCCTCTGGCCGTCCAAGTCCATGTTTCTTCATGGGAACAAATCCATCATTAAGGCTTTTCTGGCCAAAGTACCTATCCATAATTCATGATAACGTTTCCTCCAGTGAAAAAGTACACCCACTCTTGTTCTCTCACATCAAAATCCACCAACATATTTGTTTAGAACTGTTTTTGCTTGTAAACTGTGCCTTGATACATGCACACTTCTTTCCCGATTGATACAATATGACTTTTTCACTGGAGAAAGCAATATTATGGATAGAGGACTTGTATTTTATCTGGAAGCAACAGTTTGAACTGGAAAAAAAAATAAAATCTTACTGATGGATTTGTTTCTTACAAACATGTTGCTTTTTGCTTCACGAGATGTTAACTGATGGATTATTGTGATGTTTTTATCAGCTGTTCTGACTCTCATTCTGACGGCACCCATTCACTGCAGAGGATACATACATATCAAGTGTGTCTATATACAAATGTCTTTCTTTTTGACATGCACCCCATTAAGTTATGGTCTACATCATCTTTAAACTTCTCTACCGGCTCTTTGCTTTTTTGTGTCACTGACTTCCTCTCAGTGCACTAGGCTGTGCTCACTTCCTCCTTCAGTCCCCTGCGTGTCACCGTATTTAGGGACACTTTTATTCATACCACTATTGACAATTTCCTGGACGCTCTTTTGTATCATGCCCAGTGAGTCTATCTCTTATTTGCACTTGATTCTCTGTCCTATTAGCTTTTATTCTAGGCCAGATTTAATTTGCATCTCTGGTTTGATCATTTGTAAACTGATAAGAATACAGTGATGTCATTAGAGCAGTTACATCCTTTTTTTTATTCTGCTATAGTCAAATGGAGCTCCGTTGTGGTTTATGTATCTGACCAAATAACAATACAAGTTAATATGTAATGGTATTTTACATTCTATATGTATTGAATAATATTAAAGAAAGAAAGAAAACCTTTACTTTTCTACTAAATATATAGTGCAAGTTACAGTATGCGAAGCCTATATAGTGTTGGTAGCATTTGGATATACAAGAACACAGACAATATTGTATTTATTAGATCATTTAATGTGTTATGTGTATATTTAATGTGTTATTTTGTTTTTAATTTGCCTATTGTTGGTATAGTGTTGTAAAGCACTTTGGTCAACTCCGGTTGTTTTTAAACTGTGCTGTATAAATAACATTGTATTGTATTGTATTGTATAATAAATGGGGGGAAAAATACAAGATCGGAGGGTTTGATGGAGAAAAGTATCAGCTGAAATATGTGAGATGCACATACATTGATTTGATGTCTGCGGCAAGTCTGATTCACTTTGTAGTTTATTCTGACAGCCCAGAGACTGCTGTAGAGTGACCGTCTATGTGCCATTCAGTGAATATGCTTGTGAATATGTAGTATTGAGATAAATAAATAAATAAATCCAGGTCAGTAAGTACTCTTATCTTTAAATATTTGACATGCACCTAAACGTCAAAATCCAATTTTAGTCATTCTAAAACATGCATTCCGATTCCTGGAAAATGCATTGTAGTTGTTTTGATTGGAGCTTAAGATTTTTACACAAATACTTTCCAGCGCAATATGAAACATCTGATGAGTGAATGGACTGTGGGCGGTTCGTGACCCCTAAAACAGTAAGCTGTACAGTTTTAAGTTCTAGTTTCTTTGAAAAAAAGGAACTGTTTTTTTTTGTCAGCAAAGTCATGTTAGACCCCTAAACCTATAAATAATCTACTGATTTCACATTTCAAACTCAGATGTGCATAACTAGAGTGCATGCATGTATTTTTATCATACACATTAGGCCTTCAACAGATAAGTCAACCTGTAAAGAGTCGACAGCCTCTTCATTCGATTTTTTTTTCAAGCTGAGGAGAATTCACATCATATGTTTTCACAAATATTGCGAGATTATTACATTATTGCAGAGTTTCAGATGATGTTAACAGGCACCCATGTGAGATGAATTACTTCCCTACTAACTCAGTGCAAATGTTCTTCTCAGAAAGATATAAATAAAGGTCACTGACAACACGAATGTTTTATGGGCGTTAAGCACGGTCATTTTTAGCTGTAATGCACGTGATAATTTGACATAAACATGATTTATATAACCACGATGGTCTTCTAGCTTGAATATGTTCATTTATATTGTTTACTTTAACCAGTGTTGGAATGACTGTTTTTTTTTTTATATATATATTTTAATGATTCAAGTTTGATACATTCAGCTTTTTGCATGTCGTTTCAAACTCATGATTTTCTTTCTCACATGGAACACAAAATTAGTCTTATGCTCACCAGGAATGCATTTGATAAAAAAAAATATAAAAAATACAGTTAAATCAGAAATATTATTACAATTTAAAATAACTGTTTACTATTTGAATATATTTTAAATTGTAATTTATTGCTGTGATGCAAAGCAGAATTTTCAGCATCATCAGTGTCACACGATCCTTCAGAAATCATTCTAATATGCTGTTTTGCTGTTCAAGAAACATTACTTATTATTATAAATGTTGAAAACAGTTGTGCTGCTTCATATTTTTGTGGAAACTGTGAGACGCTGCCATTCAAAAGATATAAGATAAAAAAAAAAGATAATAATTTTATTGAGCAACGACACATTCAATTGATCAAAAGTGACAAAAGACATTTATAATGGTACAAAAAATTTCAATTTCAAATAAATCTTTATATTCATCAAAAAATCCAGAAAAAAATGTATCACAGTTTTCTCAAAAATCTTTAAAAAAATAAATATTAGGCAGAAAAAGCTGTTTTTAACATTGATAACGATAAGAACCATTATTAATAATTGAGCACCAATAATAATTGAGCAGCAAATCAGCATATTAGAATGGTTTCTGAAGGATCATGTGACTGGAGTAATGATGCTGAAAATTCAGCCTTGCATCCCAGGAATAAATTACATTTCAAAATATCTTATAATAAAAAAGTCTTTTAAATTGTAATAATATTTCACAATTTTACTGTTCTTACTATATTTGTGATCAAATAGGCCTAAAAAAAAACAATTTCAAATTTTGGGTAGAATTTAGTTTCTGCTAAATATCTCATGTACTGCATGCAAGTCACAGACAACGTTGTGTTTCTTTCAGTTATTGGAAGCTGAAGGGAGAACAACAATGCAGAACATCAAGTGTGTCGTGGTTGGAGACGGTGCGGTTGGGAAGACCTGCCTCCTGATTTCCTTCACCACCAACGCCTTTCCTAAAGAATACATTCCCACTGTGTTTGACAACTACAGCGCACAGCTGGCTGTAGACTCTAAAGTCATCGGTCTGAATCTGTGGGACACCGCGGGACAGGAGGAGTACGACCGTCTACGGACCCTCTCCTACCCACAGACCAACGTCTTCATCGTCTGCTTCTGCATCGCCAGCCCCTCGTCCTACGAGAACGTCAAGCTAAAGTGGTACCCCGAGGTGTCAGAACACTGTCCTAATGTGCCCATCCTGCTGGTGGGGACTAAAAAGGATCTGAGAGATGATCCAGAGGTGCTGAAGAAGCTCAAGGAGAAGAACCTGTCGGTGGTGTCCCAGCAGCAGGGGGCGGCGCTGGCCCGACAAATCCAGGCCAGCAAGTACATGGAGTGTTCAGCGCTCAACCAGGATGGGGTGAAGGAAGTGTTTACGGAAGCTGTTCTCGCTTTCCTCAAACCCAAATCTCAAGCCCGCAAGAAATCATGCGTGCTACTATAAATGGGACGGGACCTGAACATATGTATTTTTACTGTATATGGGGTATTTGTTTTGTCACATGTACATATGAACAAAAATCACACTTAATAAAAAGTACTTTACATTATACAACAAAATATCATACCAAGTGGTATTTATTTCAAGGGGAAATAAAAGAATAAATGATAGGTTTCAAATAATAAAACAATAGAAATACACTGTAAATGCTCAAAATACTTAAACAAATTAGATCAAACAAACAAACTCTTAAGTGTTAAGAACTTTCTCTTTTGTGAGTGCACAAAACTGACACGTTTTAAGTCAGTGTTTTGAATTTAATGAACTCGTTTCTTTGAATTTAGAGGAACTTGAATTTAACTGAAACTGGGCTGGGGATTTCTATTTCCCAGCACGCTTTGCCATGGCACTCAAAAGGGAGAGTACATGCTAAAATTAAGTTTTTTTTTTTTTTTTTGTGCAAGATTTTGGAATGAGGGATTTAGTAGTGTTTAATGTTTTGTTGTGCTAATTTAGAAGAGTATCTGTTTGTGACAAGTTGAGCATAAGAAGGTATACTGTATGTTAAATGTTCTGTATTGCCTTACTTATTAAGCTATTGCTATGCCAATCAAAGTCTTGTTTTACTTAGCATGTTAGCATTTAGCTAGTTATAGTTTAAATTTCCACTACTAAAATATTTAAATTGAGATTAAGAGATAATTTTAGTTGAAGTGTAATCAAAATGTATGAGTTACAGTAGTTTACTCAAATAGTTCAAGATAAGAGCAATTAACATGTATAAATAACAATTTGAGAGTTCTTCTTAAACTTGTACCCCTGGTTTCACAGACAAGGCTTAAGGCTAGTCCCAGACTAAAATGCATGTTTGAGCTGTCTCAACTGAAAATATCTTGCTCTTACTTATCTTAAAGGGGTCATATGATGCTTTTTTAAAGATCATTATTTTGTGTATTTGGTGTAACAGAATATGTTGACATGCTTTAATGTAAAAAAAACATTATTTTTCAAATACTGTACATTATTGTAGGTCCTCTATGCCCCGCCTCTCTCAAACGCTTCGTTTTCTACAAAGTCCCTCCTTCCGAAAAGCGCAGTCTGCTCTGATTAGCCAGCTGACCCAGTGCATTGTGATTGGCCGAACACCGCAAGCACTCGTCGGAAATGTAACGCCCCTTACCATAATCGCGAGCTTCATCTTTCAAAATAAATGTAAAAGTTTATTTTTTATTTTTTATAAATGCTGCTTAAAAATCTTAATTGAACTAAGTCCTAGTCCTGGTTTAAGATAAGCCCCATCTGTGAAACTGCACTCTTAAAAATAAAGGTGCTTCAAAAGGTTCTTCAAGCGATGCCATAGAAGAACCATTTTTGGTTCCGCAAAGAACCATTCAGTCAAAGGTTCTTTAAAGAACCATTTCTTTCTTACCTTTTTATAATCTGAAGAACCTTTTTTCGCCACAAAGAACCTTTTGTGAAACAGAAAGGTTCTTCAGATGTTAAAGGTTCTTTATGGAACCATTTAGACAAAAAGGTTCTTCTATGGCATCGTGAAGCACCTTTATTTTTAAGAGTGTGGGCCTAAATGTCTTAAATTAAAATATTGATGTAATTATATTAATTTTTTTGAATTCTGTTAACTTATTTGGGTTTAAAGTGTATGCAAAATAAAGATAAGAAGTACAGTATTTTGGACACTTTTTGGGTGTCAAACCTTTTGGAACATATTTATAATTGATGCGGTCAACACTGTAAACAATTATTTTCGAAGTTGCAACCAAAAGAAAGATTGTTGGAGTATATTTTACGAGAAAATCTTATTTCAGATTTTTTTTTATTGTTTTTTTTTTTTACTTGAAAATTTATATTTGAAAATGTGTGACTTGCAGTTTTTTTTTTGTAATAATTTGTGAAATTTACTAGCAATTTGTGAGTGTTTCTACACTGAATTTTTAGTTCTGGTAATTTTGGGTTTATTGTATATATAAAGAAAGAAAGAAAGAAAGAAAGAAAGAAAGAATAAGTGTATAAGTGTATTTAATTGTGTTTTTCTTTGTTACTAAGATTGTGTCTGTAGAAAGTTTAATTTACGATTATCCAAATATTCTGCAAATATGAAGCATAATAAGAAGAATGAGACTTTGTGTGTAAAGCAAGCTTGATTTCATTATAATGTTCATTTTCATATTTAATCGTGACACTTACTTGGAATCTCATTTCAGCATTTAGGATTTAATGTCATGTACTGTTAAACACAAGAAAGGAATTCTGTGGCACTTGTGTGTGAATCAGTTCACACAAACCACTGTCACAGTATAAAAGCTCTTGTATAAAATGCTGACTTTGTACTTTCCTGGACACATTAATAAAAAGGAGGAACCGTTTATGCAAATCTGCGCTTTACACACCTCACGATTACAAAACATGAAACTCATTAGTTTCAAGTTCATTTTTTGGGGGAGATGAGTTTGTGGCTGCTTATGAAGCAGTTTTCATGTACTTTCTTTTGTGTTGATTTCGAGTCTCTTGTTAGTGAGAGCAGAAGAAACGAGAACCCTTCACTTCCCTCCTCTAAATCCTCAGCTATTTCTGGCACAGTTCGTAGCAGTCTTGGTTTTGTTGTATGTCTGGAGAGACATGAGAACAGAACAACAGAAACAGCAACAAATACAAAATAAATTAAAAAGTAAAATAGGGGTTGCAAATACACTCTTAAAAATAAAGGTGCTTCACGATGCCATAGAAGAACCTTTTTGTCTAAATGGTTCCATGAAGAACCTTAACATTCTATTTCACAAAAGGTTCTTTGTGGCGAAAGAAGGTTCTTCAGATTATAAAAAGGTAAGAAAGAGATGGTTCTTTAAAGAACCTTTGACTGAATAGTTCTTTGTGGAACCAAAAATGGTTCTTCTATGGCATCGCTTGAAGAACCTTTTGAAGCACCTTTATTTTTAAGAGTGTAGAAGAAAAAAAAACTGTCAAGCTCTAGAAAAAATATTACTGTGAGTGAGCCATTAGACCAGATCTGATCCCTCATCGCAGAGTTACATGATGTTGTATTTGCCTCAGTGTGATTTGAAAGTAAAATGAAGTATAGACTCGCATGAGACTGCTACAGTTTTATACTCAGGCAAACACTGCTGTTCATTCACTTAAATCCTGACCACAAGCCAGTGAATTTGACAGTGAAATCAGTGTTATGGCCTCTGGCAAACACAAAACAACACACTCGTCTTTGTTTGGACCTTGTGCTTGCTTTCATTATGTTTTAACATGTTCTTCCCCATTAATATAATTATACAAATACGATTTTCAATTTCCAAATACAGCCAAATTGCAAATCCGTATACAAATACATCAATTTATTTGATCATGTAAAATACATATTCTTCCTTTTCACATAATCACATGAAAATGAGATAAACTTCAGTCTGATGTGGTAACATGTGACTCTACAGTTTCTACAGTGGAATTATGTGCTAATACTGCCACCCCGTGGTCAAAGAGTGAAAGCACCTCATTTAAACCTGCTATATACAGGTGCATCTCAATAAATTAGAATGTCATGGAAAAGTTAATTTATTTCAGTAATTCAACTCAAATATTCTAACTTTTCCACGACATTCTAATTTATTGAGATGCACCTGTACATGATAAAGAGCTGCTGGTTTTATTCAGAAAAAATCAAAATCAAATCAAAATCAAAATAATGGTGAAATTAGCAAACCGCTGTGAGGTCAGCTGATGGTCAATAAATTTGCAATTGAATGAAATATTTGAAGAAACTATTGCCAGGGGTGTGAAGCAATGATTATGTATTTGTTTATTTTTCATAATAATTTCATAATAAATTTTGCAACACTTATTTTCCTGTTTATTTCTCTGAAGCTGCTTTGAAACAATCTGTTTTATATAAATAGCTATATAAATTAATCACTTATTTTAATATAATTTAGTTAATAGAAGTTTATTGATAAGGAAAATCTATGTATGTCTTTTTTTTGACAGCATCCTCAATTTACAGCATTTTTATACAAGTGTCTAAAACTTTTAACAGTACCGTAGCTTTATAGGCCTATATATGGACGGACATAATATTGTCAGTGATATGTATTAACATTATTAATTACATTGTTAAATAGATTATGAACTATTTAACATTTACGAAATGTTTTTTTTTTTTATTAATAAATGATATTAAATAATAATAAATACATGTGTACTCAATGGCAGCAAAACATGGACATATATTTTGTTTAACATATATAATGCGATGTCAAATACAGTGAGGCACAGAGGCTGGATTACACATGTGCTCTGTTTGGAGGATTAAACGGTTTAGTGTCTCTGTGTTTTATTGACTTTCATACAGCAGCTGTCATCTGAAGTTGAAAGACTAGACCTTCAATGAATCGAATATCACCTGTCACTTTATGCCTGATAGCAGAGCTGCAATGAAGAAAACTGTGAGATGTCTGCCAAGAATGTGCAATATTTTGCCCTTTTTTTCCCCTTCTGCTTGATGTTTGTACCAGGTAATGCATTCTTCTTTCTTACATATCAATCTGCCACTGTGCTGTTGTTAGTTTCTCTTCATATTTGTTTGATTTTTTGCAGGTTTTTAGCCAGTAATAGGACTCAAACCTTCTTAATATTCTAAGCAAATTCATATTACACAGTCTAATGTTTAGTCAAAAGTATAATTTACTGGATCGTTCAATTAATCGTTCAAAGTCCACTTATGTTATTCTGTGCGCTTAAGATGCTTTTTTTTTTTTCTTTCTACATGTTATCTTAAGGGTTTTTCCATTGTTTTAATTTTAGTTTTAGTATAACACTATAATACCGTTTATATTTTGATTTTTTTTATCATTTAAAGAAGAAACCAATCCGATGTATAGTTGACATTTGAGGCTTAATTACTATAGAAAAGCACTACAAGTTTTTCAATTAGAGTGTTTTCAGCTTGTTTATTTTCATATAAAAATACGGCATGCAGTTGCATCAAACAATGGTATAAACATCATTCAATGTAAATTGTGATAATCGTAATTAATAATCGCAATTACAATTTCAAGGCAATAATAGACAATTATGATTTTTGTCATAATCGTGCAGCCCTCGCTGAGATCATGCCTCC